TTCTCTGATGGAAAACCAGCATGCATGTTAATAGAAAAATAATGATCAAAATGAATATGAGATTGGAAGAACCTAAGATGTTTGGTATTGAAGGTGGAATTGGTCTAAATTCCAATGTGTGAGAAGACTTTCTGCGGACTGAATAAGGAAAACACATCGAAGGAGACGATAGTATAACCGCATGACTTTTTGGTCGCAACGATGAGATCTAGAAGACGAAGAGGGTGGATCTCGTCGTCTCATGTTGCGTGCGTTGGATTCCCAGGAACACAGTAGCGGATGATCAAATTGAATAGAAGAAGCTGTGACCTTCACGTAACGCTTTCCCCAGTGTGAATTCTTTGACTCCGAATGCGTTGGACTGACACGTTGTGTGGTGACTGTGTCAGCCGCGTCAGATGGAGTGATGTGGCCGAATTTAGCAAGCAGAGCATCTGGTCCAATACACCTTAGCATCGTTATATCTATACCATGACTACCGTCTTAAGTCGAGACATGTCGAGTCAGTCTCACTCACGATCACGACGTGTGAATCAGTCCAATTTGATTTTAACTATTTATATAAAAATGTAAATAAAATTAAGAAGATGTTGAATACTCGATCAAATATGAGAATTTTAAATAAAATAATAATTTATTTCGATTGCTAATTTTTTGATAGGCTTTTATAATTAGCTTAATTTTATGGGAAAAGATGTCTCACATATGATGATTTAGAAGATTTGTGAAATTGTAATTATTACGTTTAAATATAAATATAGTCTCTTGTTTCATACAGGGACAAAAATAAAGCTGAGAAAGGTGTGAATTTTATGTGGTTTCTAATCAACAACTGATCATTTGATTACTGCTAGGCATCAACGTAAGAAAATTCTAATGAAGCTGAGATTAGGAATTCTCTTACAATCCAAGTGAGTCGTAATAATTTATATGTCACGAAAGAACGAAGAAAATACACTAATTGAACGGTTCAATTTGACTAAGCATTGACTTTTAAGTACGTTCTAAACATAGTGAATCGCATTGAGCGAAACTAATATTCAATCATTTTGATGAGATCGTGGTTGAATATTCAAACGCAAATGGATCTTAATTGGGTGATCTAACAAATGCTCGACATCTAACAGATAAATATTTAAATTAATTTATAAAAAATATGATGAATAAATTAGTATTAATTTTAATTTTAAATTTTAAATCAGTAATTAAAATTTAAGAAGATTAAAGAGTCAATTATTACATCCGATGGAGTATGAAAGAGTTACATAAATAAAGTTCTCTTATTGTAAGACTCGAGTCCATTGTTATTAATAATTATAAAGTGATAAATTAAATTAAACTTGATCTTGTTGTTGTTACGGTTCAAGTTTAATAGACTAATTGATCCATTGACTTCATTTGACCTAAATCATTAGTTAAAATATACATAGTACGGCTCTATGTCATGATGAATCTTTTGATTTCATCGATGAATAATCCTTTTCTACTTGTTTAAATATTAGATTAATTTTGATGCCAAATATCATGATCTAAACATGATAGGCTAACTATCCTATTAACTTCATTTGTTCTAAACCACTAATCAAAATACTTAAACTAAAATTAATAATAATATATTTATCAAACTTTTATAAGGGTTAATTATATAATATTATTTCATGTAATTAGCTACTTTTAATATTTCGATCTCTATACTTTCATAAGTTATACTAGAATCTCTATATTTATAAAAAGTGAAATATTAAAATCCCTATATAATATTTAAAAAATAATTTTATATAATTAAAAAAATAATTTTATTGGAATAAGATTAAATAATATCTTGATTCTAATATATAATTAGCCTCTCTTATAAGTTAATCTTAGTTTTGTCGTTATTGGTCTAATCGCGATGTCACAATTGCAATAGGTGAAATTATTATTTTTCATTTAGTATATTAATTATTATTATTATAACAAGCTTGATTTAATAATTTTTTAATGCATTCCCAACTTTATACGACTCTTAAAAAAGTCTAAAAATTTAGTTCTATTCCGATAAAAATCGGTTTGCAACATCAACCGTTGGATTTCTCGTTAAAGAATCTTAAACTTAGCAGACTGACCAACTGTTGGTTCTTTGGGCCCAACAATGACAAAATTAGGCTTCAAATATTTGGGCTGTTCTAATGTTTTAGGTTACAGATCTCTTATATTTCCATCATTAATCTCAATCATATTGATCATTTTTGGGTCTACAACTTAAATCATTACATACGTAGCAACACATTTCAAGTTCAACGAGGATATTCCCAATCGATCATTAATGTATATATTAACAAGAAAAATTCGTTCATAAACTCAAAACTTGCTATAAAAATGAAAATTATATTCAACCGTAAGTCAAATTTGGAATCCATGAACTAACTCATAGGGAGTTCAAATCAATTGACGAATCCCATCCATCGGAGAAACCGTGAAGTAATTAAATCCACAGCAAGATTCCAAATGCTTATAATAATCGATTCAAACATTCTCTCATCAAAAACCATGATTAATCAAATAGCATCTCCCCCATCGCCCACTGTCTCGAGCGCAGTGAGCGGAGGTGCAAAAGTCCACCAACCGGCGTCGCATTGACACCGAGGAGATGCAGAGCGGAGATGAAGACGATTCCAATCTTAGACAACACGTACAGAGAAACCATAAACTAAGGAAGAAGACGAAGATGAAGAAGAACAATAAATGCTGCCTGCGTTGCTTGATTCGGAGGTGAGCATGGGTATGGAGGTGGCGGGAGACACGAGGACGATGTTGCTGTGCTCGTCACGTCATCTCTGCGTTTCCGAATCTCCACGCAGGCTGTGCCCATAACTCGGTTAACCTCTTCCCTCATCAGACCCCATGTCACGTCTTTTGCTCCCCTTCCAAGCGACGCTGTCTTAATCGTTGTTTATATGACACAGATGCTGCTGCTCGCATTTCCATTCATCGACTACATCACACCGATGTGTTCTACCTCTGTTTTTTTGGCATTCCAATCATCTATAATAAATTTGAATACCTATCTATCTATAGAACGGTTTGCGTAAGAACTCAATTGGCTTCTGGTTGTCGTGCTCTTAGAACACAAGTGCATGTCAAGCAATCTCCACTTTGTTTGCGTGTTCTTCGATCACCATGCTTCGTTCAATGTGGTCATCGTCTGTTCTCTTTCTTTGATATGCATCGCTTTGGATTCGAATGACCACACATAGAAACCTTCTTGCTCGTGTGGCCATGTTGATAACTGGATTCAAAGAACATGGTTCTCATGCATTCTCCATCACTGCTCCGCACAAGCATAGAAGAATCGAGCAGATCTCACTTCAATGCAACCAAATTCTATTACTTTAGAAGCTGGGCAGAGAGCTTTCAACTACTGGTTTATAAACTATGAGGTGAGTCAAACCAAGCAGTGAGTTCAACCCAAATCACAGATCAAAAAGAGAAGCAACGTCAGAGGTGTCTGACCATGTTGTTGTTATCCTAATCATGGGGTCCCTGTGGACCAAAGAATTAAAATATGGTATGGATAGCGTGTACTGAATGATTCCTCCGCTTTTAGGTTTCGAAAGGTCAGATGTTGAGTGCAGGGTGGGAACGATGTCCACACTTCATTAGTTTTCTTATCGATTAGGTACATTGGTTTCTTGTCCTGTTCTTGATGGAATCAGTAATGGATCCTCGTGTTGTCATCTCTTTTCTGAAGTCCCTTTCTTTGGTTATCCTCCATTCTCTTTTTTCTTTTCTGTCCCGTAAATCAAGTGTTCTTCGTGAAAATTGAAGCTTTTTTATGATGAAAAATCTTATGCCTGGAGAATAAAATGTTGCATGAGATGATTTGATGAAAATACTTGTGTTATTTGAATTTTGTATGGTATAAGAACAGAACAATAAAAAGTAATTATGTCATAAACTAAGAGGAAAGTGAAATTTTATTAGTTGGGTTTCTCACTCGAAAGAAAAAGGGAGAGAGAGAGAGAGAGAGAAAGAACAGAGCACAATTAATATAGAGTGTGTTTTCACTTTCAAGCTCCGAGTCGCCTACAAAATCCCACTTCTTCCAGCAGAACATCAAACACTGCATGTGAGAGGGTTAATTCGGTGTCAACTTGAATGTTCTCATTGCAGGTAGATCATCATCTATCGTCGCCCTGATATGATTTGGATTCACAGAAGATCCATTGAGGAAAACGGAGGTGAACGCATCAAGGCTAATAAATGAACAGAATGACATGAGCAGTATGTTTGTCTTGATTATTCATATGGCTTTTGGAGTAAATGCATGGACATTAGATGAGTCTTTTGTTGCTTCTGCGGAGAGCTACACGCAAGGAGAGAGCATCCGAAGACGCTTCTCCGGAGGAAGAATAAAACTTGGCCTGTCTCGTAGTCACACGCCCAATGTCTGCTTCCATTTGCCCTCACTCTACTGTACAATGGCGTGCACATCCCTCCACCCTAAATGCAGTGACAGTGCTGCGTGTTGGATGTCCCACAACCTCAGAGCGTCCTCTGCCGCGTTCCTCGCCTGGGGCACCGTGAGATGATACCTCCTTTGGGCATTAATGGCTTCACCATTAATGTCGTGTGTCATGTCGAATACAATAACATGGACCTCAGAGGAGGTGTTATGGCTGCTGCAAAAGGAAAAGTCAAGACTTCAAGACTTGTTATGCATATATTCTTTGCATCCGAAGTGGATTACAAGGTGAAGATGGTGTCATAATCATATATGTATGTCAGCCTCCTTTATAATTTTCACTGATTGATTCTCCATCATTCGAGGGGAAGTACTTTTGCTTGTTATTTGCATATGAGAAGCATCATGCAGCGTTTCTATTATTCATGTCCTGCCCAGAAGCTGTTCCAGGCAGTGCAAGCAGACACAGATGACAGACAAGTCTTCCCATGAGGCTTCATAAAAGGTGCAAGTACTATGGACAATAATGATTAAAGAGGAGGAGGAGAACAGGGCATTAGCTGCACAAATAGACATCTCAATGCTCAAAAACACATCAATCCAACCGCCTCTCATTTTCATCTGCTAAAGCTACTGTTCTCCATCAGCTTTACAGGAAGGAACAAAAGCAAAATCTCAGATTCTGGTGAGACCCACTCGTCAGTAATAATATGTACAAAAAGTATGTGGGATCGATGAATCCGTGTGAGATCATGAGCACAGCCTGGGCAGCGATCTGGCATTGCTTGGACTCACCGTCCTGTTCTTCTTCGTGGCCCTTGCCATTTGTGCTTGCATCTTCCTGCAGATCCTTTCCAATTCCATCACCTTCCACTGCATTCCTTGCAGCTGAGACTTGAGCTTCTCGTTCTCCGTCGACAAGTCCACCTTCTTCGCGTAAAGAATGATCTGCTCACCATCACTGAATCTATTCTCCTTGCTCGGATTTGCCTTGGGCAGAGCACCGCTGTGCTTCTTCAATTGGTTGACCTCCTTGAGCAGACTCCTGAGCTTCGATTGCTGAGAAATGAGAGCTCGGATGGCCGTTCTTGAGGGGAACTTCCTGTTGCTCGCAAGGTGTTTGCAGGATTCTGACGACAGCTTCTCGTAGTTTATTGCACAAAACATCTTCATCTTCTCCTCGCCCGATAATTGAGTATGAACCTGAGAATTCCATGAGCACAGCAGTGAAGAATCAGCTAAAACAAATCAATCAACTGGACACTTTAAAGGTTTTGCCTCATGAATTATTCCAAGGATACCTCGAGATACATGTCGATGGCACCGTAAATCGCATCATGGGAGTCTCTTGCTTCGTCGGGCAGAGCTGTGGCCAGTGCCACGAACTTTAAAGGCTTCAAAGAGGAATCTGGGGCAACTTCCGCCAAGTACGAGTCCATCAAGCTCCCTGCCTGCTTCAACTCGGTTATAGATTTACGACCCTCGATTCTGAGGAAGGACTTCAAGAACCTTAAGATTAGATTCACATCATAGAGGCTCTTCGTCCCTGAAGGAGCTGGAACCAGCAAATTATCTAACGTCGCTTGATCGAACTTGTTGCCTATCATACTCTCCAGTTTGCTCTGGCAACACTTGCTGATCTTCAAGGACGAGGAGATTCGAAGAACACCAAACAAACCCTTGCAGGACACACAGCTTGCATCAAGAGAGTGGAGCAGGTTGATGATGGTTTCAGCGGCCTCTTTCTTGTCGGACGAGGAGGCGTTGGACGCTGCACTCTTCAGGTAATGAGCAAGGAACCTACTGATCAAAACTTGATCTACTTTGTGAAGAACCATGCTCCTGACGATCTTTTCGATCATGGCGGGGTTCAGCACCACAAGATCTTCGAACCACCAAGCTCGGTGATTGCAATTTTTGGTGCTCATCGTGCTTCTCGTGTCGAACGAGAACCGGAACGCAGAGCTCTCAGGAGAGGAGACTGCCGGACTAACATCGCTGGCTGCTGTGATTCTACCAGCCAGGGATTCCAGAATTCTATCCATCAACCCCGAGGTGCTCGCCACCGGAAACAAATCTTGGCATTGTCTCAGGGCGCGTACGATCTCAGACCATGACCAGTAAGGGATCCCCTCGAGAGACTTCTGGATCAGCTTCAACAGGTTCACCGAGGAAGAAACGCCGCCATCAGTCATTTCCATGAAGTGAGCGACAGAGTGCAGAAGGCAGGTGGTGCGGGGAGTCATCCGAGTCGCGACATTGTTGTAGCATAACCTTGTCATCAACTCAAATGCCTCTGCTCCTCCAGGCAAGTCCGTGAATGCCACTTTGAGGGGTTTTGTGGCTGAAGCGATGGATGTTTGATCGATCAACTTCCTCACTCTTCCGCAGAAGGATGAGAGGACTTCCTGTAAAGAATCAATCGACTCAGACTACCAAATGCCTGCTAATAATGCTGTGAATTATGAGATGGTAACAGTGGCACACCAAAATGGCAAGCGAACAACTCACAACAAAGTAGGAATGGGTGAAACTAAAACTTCTCGAGGCGACGTTCCAAAGCATTAAATTCGTGGAAGAAACAAGGCAGCAGTAATGGAGAATGAAAAGTCCTCCCGAAGTACCGTTATTCGAAAGAGGCAAAGATGGTGAGCTGTTAGTACATGCATTCAATATGCACAGTGAAGCAAGAGAGCAGAATCGGTCCCTCTTAAGCGTCCACAGTAACTCCGAGCATGAAGACGACATGAGAGCATTGAGTACTCACATGAAGACATCATAAATGAGAGAGAAAAGGATCCAAAAATTAGAAGACGGGGTAAAAAAAACAAAAGTAGGGAATCTGTTTTGCTTTAAACATTGAAAACAGATCAAAAAATTAAAATAAAAATATAGGAGGAAAAATTGTTCCTTCCGGAGAATGATAACATCGAATGCAAAAGCAGGAGGAGAAAACGAATCAGACAAAGAATCAAAATTGAACTCTCACTTCCAAGAAAAAGAAGACCTCAGTTACAATTCAAAGAAGTCCTCTTGGTGATCGTTGTGAACTGGGAAAGAAGGCTTACCTTATCAACCAGGAAGATCTCTTCCCCATTGACGTCCACTTCAAGATCGCAAGTCATCGCAGCAACTCGGAGCAGTATCACCACCAACAGGCTTTAACGAAAGGAAAAAGAAGGGCTTCGGAACGCTTCAAGAAATCCAACGAGTGAGCAGTAAGTATGACAAGAAAGTTCGCCAAAAAGCACCACAAGAAAGGACTACAATGATGAAGATGGGAAAGGAGGTGGAAGGCAAAAAAAAGGAACACACGGAATAATATCTTAAGGTGAATACAGGACAAAGGGAGGCAGCGAGAGTTCCTCGGCTGGTCAATCGACGAGAGAAGGAAAAGAAGAGAAAAGAGGGATAGGAGTCACATCGCCGAGTCACCGAGGCCCAGGAGACACAGAGGAAAGTGGGGGAGACGGGATAGAAGTAGATGAAGCGCCAAAGCAGAGTCTCCTGACATCTCTGTTGGGTCTCCCAGTGTCACAATGCTGCTTACTGATGCTCTTCCCTCTTCATGCCCAAAGCCTTGTGCACAAGGTGTCTTTCTTTTCGCTCTCCTTCTCTCCCTCTTTCAGCGTAACACCTCAACCTCACTGCTCATCACAGTTCTCCAACAAACAACATACGAACAAAACAGTGCATCTTCCCATCTTTAAAGTGCCTAAGCTTCTCCATCCAATCTTTATGTGCCCAAACTGCCCCTACTTCTGTTGACTGTTCTACCAGCGGACGGAGAGGGAGGAATGAGTGACAGGGACAGGGGTGGATGCAATCTTTACTGGTTCAGATCAGCCCAATTACGTATCCTCTGTGTCTATTTCATGTGACGACTCTATTTGACATTGCCTAATGGACCCAAATAAGACTTGGTTTACCAATGCAGCTCAATCCATATGGCCTGATACGTTGATATAAATAAACCTTCTGCCGGCCCATGAACATGTGATATATTTCATGTGACTCTATTTGAGTGAGATCTGATAAGGTTTGATGATGTTTTAAATTAGGGGATGCTAATCAAGATGAATCAATATGTCCTATTTATCTCATCCAACTCCAACTCCAACTCCGAATCCGAATCCGAATTTAATTTATGTATCTTCTCTATATCAGCCAACTCCTAGTCGAATTATAATTGTTATAATTACCTCCTCATCCAAGTCGGATACGGATTCGAGTTCTTATCGGGTGTGATGAATAGTCGACCCGTTATATTATCCCATCAAGCCGTCGTCGTCTTCGTAGACGTCGCTGATATAGCACACTTACGGAATAGCTGCAAGCAGGGCGAGATGAGGATGTTGAAGTTTCTGTGCGGGCGGAGAGCCTTGGGGCGGGAGGAGAGGCCGTCAGCGCAGGCGTACGAAGCACTGGGGCAGCCAGCGGAATCCGCGTCGAGGCGGGTGACGGCAGGTGACGACAAGCCGCACAGGAGGAGGAGGACGGCGTCGGCGTGGCGGCCATATCTGGAAACGATCATGGAGGAAAGCGGAGCGCCGGACTCTGCGAATACGGCAGCAACTGAGGAAGCCGGTGGCTAGGAGAAGGCGAAGCCTAAGTCGGCGGCTGGGATCCGCCCTTGGGGCGTCATGCACGAGCATTGGTATGTGATCTGGGCACATGGCACCGTCTTCGTTCTAAACATGTTTTTGAATCGACTAGCTGATGAGATCTTTTACTCAAATGCAAGTGCTCGAAAGCTTACATTTCATGCTAATCAAGTACATATCCCTTTTGTTTTCTCAGGCACGATCCAGGTTTTACGTTCATGTCAAAGCTAGCAGCAGCACCTGCAACGCCATACTTGCTCTGAAGTGCATGCGGCAGTCAACTCATTCAAAAGGGTTCGGAGACGGCATTGTTGGTGACGATGATATCGGAAATTAAATTGAATTTTAGATCAGAGATGCTGATGTTAGAAAGGCTGTAGAATATTATGGAAGTGGAATTTGTGTCCCAGTCCTAATAGAATTTGCTCAGCGAATGATCTTTTTGTATATGATATTTGTGATGGTTAATAGAAAGTTATTAGTCTTTCATGTCTCCTACACGACGGCACGTACATGATGCTTTGAGCGATGCATGGAACTGCCAAGCTTCTATGTCGCACGTCGAATTCGACATTTGCTTGCTTTTTCGTTCTTCTCTCACCTAATTCAATTTCATTTGAACTGTTGTATTTGCGACATCATCCTTTGCGCAACATTTGCGGGCGGCGAGGCTACGAGCGGGAGGAGACGCCATCAACGCGGGCAGAGGAAGCAGTGTCGCGGCGGGTGGAGCAGGCTGCGTCCGCAGTGGCGCCGAAGGAGGGCGTCGCCGTGGCGGCGCTCTAGGGCTGCGATCTCGTATGACCGCGGAGCGCTGGTCACTAACGAGACGGCGGCAGTGGAGGGAGCCGCTGGTCGATCTCGTATGTTTATTGTCACTTACAGTATATTAGCCCAATTTCTTTTCCAATCATTTGAGAAAGATCGTATATTAGTCCAAAATATCCCAAATCCCCTCAAAATAACCTCGAAATAGAGGAAGGCATCAGAAGCTTTCCAAGCCGCAAGCAATGCTCAGGATTCCTCCCCTAACATGCACTTCTGCTCCTCTTCTCCCGTAGCATCGTTCGCAGCCCATGATGAGCTCGCCATGCCGGACACGGACAGGTTCTATTGTTGGCTGCTCCAAGTCTTCGTCCTCTCCGGCCTCGTCGTCTTCTTCATATGGCTGAGCCTCCGCATCTCCGACCCCTCCTACACCATCGTCGAGGTCACCATCCTGCAACCAAACAACGGCACCGCCGACTCCACCGTCTTCTTCGGCATCGAAATCGCCAACAGGAACAGAGGCTGCGGGGTTTACTACAGCGACATGAACGTGTCGCTGTACGTGATGGATGCGAGCGTGGGGTCAACGACGATACAGCCTTTCTACCAGGGCCACGGGAAGACTGCCCAGGTGAGGGGAGGGGCGAGCTGCGGCCGATGGGTCAGCGACGCCATCAGCAGCGGGGCGGCGCAGCTGAGATTTGAGCTGATGGCGGCGGTGAAGTACAAGATGTGGTTTTGGAGGAGTAGACTGCACCGGATGAGCATGCAGGGAAGCGTCCACGTAGGGAAGGATGGGAAGCTCTCGAGAACGAGCAAAATGGTGAGAATGCGCCCTTCTCAGAAGAAACGGAGGTCGCGGCTCAAGCCTCGGAAGTAGTATCATATTATTGCCTACATTATTATTTTTATATATAGATCGATTGTAATATATCCGTGCTTTGTCTGAGGAGTTATAATGCTAAATATCATCGATAAAGCCAATTCATCAAAGTAAAATGTTCCATAAATAAATATTATATTCAGCTGCTTTTTTATTTTTTGGATTCGCATTAAAATGCCAAATGAAAACAAACACAATAAGTTCGGTCAAGAACAGAGGCCTAAACATTGATGACAGCACAGTTCTTCCTGATTTCGCCTGCAGATCCCGTCTTTACCTCAATCCTGCCCATCTTCTCCATAGACAAGCCAAATTCTTTGAAGAACACTTCCATAGGACTGTTCACAAGCTGAATGATCGCCGACTTGGTGGCAGCATCAGTGGCCAGAGCTGCATCAGACCGGAAGAGGCCTCGTCTCTGGAGCAGGTGTTTGTAGTATCCCAGATCGAAGGTTCTGAAGCTACCCGGATCCATTTCCACAATCGTCGTCGTGTCCTTTGGAGTTTTGCACTTGTTCTTCCTCAGGTCGGCTGCGTAGAAGCTGTCTAGGGAGGGATCTTCGTCGCCTTTACCGGTGAAATTGTACAGCCGATTACTGAACGATCGGCAGTGAGAGACTCCGATAGTATGAGCTCCTACGATGAAGAGAGTTCGATATTAGTCCTCCTCTACAATCAAAATACATCTTAATTGACGAAACAATGTCGAATTGAGCACCTGACAGTACTACTAAATCTTTCAGATTTAATCCTTTGCTAGAAAAAGATGATCGAAGAGCAGTGAAGTCGAATGTTGGTGCAGGGAGCTCCTTGGATGCCTCCGACGACCTCGAGATCAGACCATCTCTACGTCCTGTTGGAACATTCCAATACGGGCCTCCCTAATGTGGTAAACAGAGTTGAATTTAAGTATATATTGGCTCTGATGGATAGGATAATCTAATTATATTTTGGCTACTTACTATGGCTACGACTGAATCCCTTGCAACCAAGGCAATGATATCTGCACAGGAAACAACCCCTGGGCATTCAGCTTCCACCAAGCTCTTCACTCTGTCCAGGAAATCGAAGCCACGGAGGCTTTGGTTCGGCAATGCCGATTTCTCTGCTTGGTGCTTTCTGGTGGAGTTTATCAGCACAGAACCATCGCAACCCTGAAAACAGGAAAAACGAAGAGCCATCAGAGCAATGAAAAGGGAAGACGAAGAAGCATATCCGGTGGATGCTCACCCTCACAAAGCAGTCGTGGAAGTGCATCCTGAGAAGAGCAGCAGCGAGAGAAGGTGCATTGGGTACGTGCCGCTTTACGTAGCCAAATATCATCTTCTCCGCGGTCGGGCAGCTCTTGTCATAGAAACCCAACTCAAGATCCGACCTCACACAGCTCAGTGAGCTCAACACAACACATATCAGAATGCACCTGACGCTCACGTTCCTCATTTTGCTTCCTGTGGCCTGAACCTATCTACTATGATCCTTCGATGGGGCAAATATATAGGTCTTCTCTGCTATATATATATATATATATATAT